AAATTAATGACCCAACTTTTCAAAGAAAATGAAACTTTAAAATGTGGTTGCAGCAAAGAAAAAGTTAGAAAGACTGGAAAAAATATCTATCACTATTGCAATGAAGATTGTTATAATATTATTACCAAGAATATATTTTTGTTATCAGAACGAATATACATTAATCCATTAGACTACCATATGCAACAACTTAAAGATCATATTGTTTGCAAAAGATGTTACCAAGAATATATGAAACACTTGTCAATAGATAACATACGAGCAGTACAATATAAAGAAACTAAATTAGGAAAAACAAACTTTAAAAAATGTACTATCTGTTCAAAGGAAAATTGGAAAAGACATATGACAAACGATTATACTAACAATTACTTTTGTGACAAAGAATAAAAAGTAGCATTCAAAATGTTTTATTGTCATAGATACTCTACAAAAGCGGTAGTAACAAAGAGAATTCAAGAATATACTAGAACTGTATACAATAACGAAGCAATGAATAAATCAAAAATACTAAGACTCTACGAATTTCTCAAAAACCACCCTCAAGAAGAATGGATTACTCCTGAAAACCAAGAAATGATAAGACAAATGAAGATTAACTCTATCACCGATAAGTATAATTACCAAAATTATGATAATATAGAAGGATACTATAGAGAAGAAACTCTTTACTCAGAAGATGAAAGCACATACGAAGTAATGGCGACATCTTTAAGTCAAGCTCTTGAAGCCTCATTCCAACAAGAAGGACAAAAGAAAAAGAATTATCCTATAGACACAACTAGAACTAACGCTATGATAATAACAGAAAAATGAAGATTAACTTAATTATGTTCAGAATGCTATTATACTTATTCACTGAAAGACCTATTAGAAGGAACATGTCCAGAATGCTTTAAAGAAATGCAAGATAGATTAACAGACCTACAAAAAGAAGAAGCTAAAGTAAAATTAGAAAAATGGCAAAATGATATAGATTACAAGTTATGGAAATAAGAATATAACCAAGAAACAGACATGGTAGAAAAACGTTATATTTGGTATTATAATTGTACAGTACGAAAAGGCCAAATTTGTAAAGTAATCAAGCAAAATGAAAAACTTGGAAAAGCACACCTTACTCAAGAAAATAAAATACGAAGAAAAAACCAAAATAGTTGGTGGACAATATATGAAATAATTGAAGAAGAAATAGAACAGTTACCAAATATATCTATTATGGAACAATGTGAAGAATGCAAAGAAATTTCAAGAAAACTATTAAAAAAAAAAGACTCTACAGAAGACAAAATATCACTAATCAGAACCCAAAAGAACCCTATTGTTATAACTGAAACTCTTCAGGCAAATCAAGATCATTCAGACCCTGAAAAATCAGAATTTTATTCTCATTACTCTGAATCAAATCATATTATAGAAATACAATTACAACAAAAAAATGGGAACAAAATAAAAGACTTGATTAATGTAATAAACCCCTCATACGATAATGAATCAGAAATAAGTAGTATACCTTAAGAAAAAGAATCATTATTCGATGAAGATGAAGAAATGATGGATAACGATACTTTAAATGATCAAGGATCACAAAACCAAAATAAAAGTGTTGAAAAATGATTACACCAATTGAAAACACTTATGTGAAGACTATTCTTTCCCCTAAGTAGAAAAAACTTATTAGATATGCAGCATTAAAGGAAGAAAATAGGGAATTAAAACAACAAGTTCAAAACTTGAAAAGAAAAGTAGAAGCACTTGAAAAAAACCAACTAGTAGAACAAATATTAAATTACAATCACCATGACCTACGAAAAAGACAAGCAACTACTTCACAATACCAAGCATTCTATAACCTTCAATTTGACCACCCCAAATTCGTAGAAGCTCTAAAAAAGGCCCAGACACTGAATCAATATGCACTAACCGAAACAGAGTTAGATACTCTACCACCTCATGACGAAGATCTTCATAGATTTCAAGAATTTTCATGAAGAAATTCTGAAGGATCAGATTAAATATAGCCTAGAATAATATAATATAAAATATATAGGAAAGAAAAGTTATATAAACACAGACAAAATTCCCAAGAAACAAAACAAACAATTTCATACCTTACAACCTTATAATATATGAATGAAAAATATTAAAAAAGCAACCATAGTCTGTACAAATTGTCAACTAAAGAAAGTATGTTGTTTAAAATATCAAGAAACAACCTGTTTACGTTGTTTAAAGAAATACATTAATTGTGTATACTTACTGCAATCTAAAAGAGGACCAAATAAGAAAAATAAAGAAACAAGCAATCGTGGATACATATAAGAAAGAAATCATTAAGATTGTAACTACTGATCAAACAATATCAGTATTCAATATAACGATAACTTGGATGAGCAATATTTATATTACATTAGCAACATCTGAACAACTATTTCAACAACTTAATCAAACAATCCAACTTATGATTATATCAATAGCAATAGTAATAACTGTATCAATAGTTGCAAATACTATAATACGATTAAAAAAAATAACAACATTAACAAAGAAAAATTAATGGATACAATCCTTACTCAATTTATTGAAAAACTTAGTCAACAATTAATTAAAATTCAAGAAGCCGTAACTGCTAGAAAAGTTACGACAACTGAAATAGAAAATTTACGAATAACATACCCACCAAGAGTAATTAATAATCAACCAGAAGAACATCTTGCAATTGAAAACATAATTACTTCAAGAAGGAATACAACAATTGAAGCACTCAAGAATATTCGAAGGAATATTAAATTCTTATATTTATTCGAATCAATATCTTTAAATCTACAAGCAATTCAAAGAACATCTTTGAAAACAAAGATACAAGCTTTATTTCAAACCTTAGATCTTACAATAGATCATACATTATCATTTGAATTAGGAATTGATAATTTATTACTAGAAATTGAAGGATTAAATAAAATTTTAGAAGGAATAATACCATGACAAGAAAACTAAGAGACTTAGTTATAACCTCAAAAAACGGGGCTAATAACCAAAAATTATCATATTCAAAAGAAATTTATTATATTATATACGAAATAATTATTTACTACCAGAAGAAACCTATAACTGAAACCTTATCAGAAGAATATTACGCTGACAAATCGGATATATCCAGTGAAAACTCAAGAATCTGGGATACATATCCTAAACAAATAACTAGATCAGTATTAGAAAATCCTCAATTTTGGCCATTTAAACACTTTTGAAACCATTATCCGGAACCAAGGAATACTTATCTTAAAGAAATAAACCCACATCAAGAAATAATATTCCAAAGACCAATAGAAGAAATTCATTCAGATATTGTAGTAACACTTGCAAATTTAATAGCAAGGTGTAACTCTACAAATGACTTAAGATTAGGAACTATATTAAAAACTTTGCAATTAGCAATATCACTTACAGGATTTAATTCCTACCAACCTAGAACTACCATAGAAACGCAAAAATACGAAACAACTTTAACAGTAACAGCAAAACAATTTAAACAAATACGTGATATCAATTTAAGCCACGATATTCCAATACCTTTAAAATCGGTATTGTATAATATTATATTTATAGCAGAAGACGTACTATATGAAGAAGGAGCTTCGATAGTTTTAGACGAAGAAGAAGACCTTAAGTATCTTGAAGAAATATCAGAAAACAAAAGAACACCTCTAAAGCAAAGAAGAAAAAGCATTTGATGATAGCCTTACAAGAAAGAGCTATAATTGAAATAAAAGAAGAATACAAATTAAGGATCTTATACCTTTCATTACGAGAAATTTGGAAAGAAAGAAGATATACAAATAATACTGTTGACTGGTTAAAAATTCGAGAATTACGAAAGAAAGCTAAAAGACTAAGATATAACCCAATAATAGTACCTATTAAAGAAATTAAAGAAAATCTGTTAAAAGGATTGTTTACAGAAATCCTTGATAGATATTATCAAGAAATTTATAAACCGTGAAAAGAAAATCCAAATCAGAAAACTATAATCTCTCTATATCAAAAGATTCTTAAAAAATATAACAATATATTACAAGAATTTGAAGAAAAGAAATGAGAAAACCAAAAGATTTTTGGAACAAGGAATATTAGCTTATTATTCTGGCAAAGACAAATAGAAAAATTCACAGAATTACAAGAAGAAGAAATTAATAAAAACTATCTAACAAAAATTGAAGCCTTTGAAGAATTATTAAAACACGAACCTTAAAATTAATGGAACTAAGTAACCAAAACAATTACAATGATATAATAGAATATTTAACAGAAAAATATATCTATTTGAAGAAGCAGTTACCTTTAAAAGAAAGACTTCGACATTCTGAAGGACCCACTACAAATACGTTTCAACTCTTGATGAACTAAAACTAGGATTTAAACATTTAAATACTATCTTAGAAAAATACGAATTACCAAAAATACAAAAAGAATTTGAAATTGTAGAAAAACAATTGTTAACAATAGAAAATACCTATAAGAATAAGAAATACAAAAATTAGATTACTCTAAATAACCTTATTCATTATTATTATTTAAAAATAGAAGGAAACGAAGTAGAAGATACTACAAGCGAAAGGAAGTATTATCAAACAAAATATTTGGATTCGATAAAAGCATTAATTAAAGAAACTATACCAAAAAGCTTATTCAACTATTGTGAATACAAAAATCCTGAACCAACTGTTGAACAGTTACTTACAGGACAATTTAGAAACTATTAATGCAATAAGAATCTAAAATAGAAGAATTATTACAGTATTATATAAATCTTTATCGATACCTTAATCAAACAAAAAACTATCAAAAAGAAGAAACAGAAATAGTCCAACGAATATATTTAGAACAATATTATAGTGAACTAAAGAAATTAATACAACAAGTAGAATATCAGATAATGAACCTTTTGAAGGAAGAAAAAGCAGAACAAATATTAATACCAAAACTGACTTCAAACCTGCAGATAAATACTGACACTACAACATTATTAACAGAAATTGACGAAGAAACTACTAGAGTATATTCTAGAGAACCAGTAAATATATACTATTACGTAAAAAGCTTTAAACAACATTCACCCCTGAAGCATTTAGAGTGGCATGTAGAAAAACTATTTAAATCTATACACATCAAACCAGAAACTACAGTAATATCTATAATTAAATCACAGATAACTGTAAAGACACGATTATTTAAAGAATCAATATTTCAATATGGAAAAGCAATAGTACGAATTATTGCTACATCATTTGGATACTTTGAAAAGATATCAGAAATCACAAGAGATAAAATATTCATATCATACGATAAGGAAATCCATTCTTATTCTTTATTAAGAGAAGAAATCGTAGATATCAAACACTTTGTAGTAAATCTTACAACAAAAGAACCACAACAAATTCTTGTTCATCAAGGAATATTTACTGGAAATAAGAAATTAACAAACATTACAAAATCTAAAAAATCAGAAAACTCTACAGCAACTGTAATAGAAAAAGATTATTACATTCTAATATTCTTTGACAACTTTGATTATTCAAACAATAAAGAGAAAGGAAAGAAAACTTTTGCATCAGTCATTAAAGAAACCAAAGATCAAGAACAGGAACAAGACCCTCAATTATTCTGCCTTGAATGTGAAATTTTAGTCGAAAAAGACCATGAATGCTCTAAATTCCAAAGACCAGAAAAGAAAGTCTATTTTGAAAAATAAAATCAATGTCAAAAATGTGGAGCTTTAACTAACAGGAACCATAATTGCCAAAAGAGATTTCCATTAAGCCAATTAAGAAAACCAAAACCAATTCTTAAAGGAAACTTTTTTGATAAAACAGAATATGAGAAGAATAAATCTCGCTTCATTTGTAGAATCTGTAACCAACAAGGTCACGTCAATAGAAAATGTCCTCAAAACAAATGTTGAAAATGTAAACAACTAGAACATCAAGTACGAGACTGTACTAACGAAACAATTCTAGTTAATAGAAATCTAAAAACCATAAATGAAGAAAATAAAGAATTCTAAAAGAAACAAACTATAATTAAAGAAACCATCTATGACCTGAAAGAAGGAAGCTCAAAGGATATCCAACCAGAAATACGATCAGAAACTCCAAATGAAACTTTAGAAGAAATAGAAGAAATAGTATATAATGAACAAGGAAAATTTATCGATCCAGATAAATAATAACCAAACTTTTCAAAAAAAATGAAACTTTACAATGCGGATGCAGCAAAGAAAAAGTTAGAAAGACTGGGAAAAATATCTATCACTGTTGCAATGAAGATTGTTATAATATTATTACCAAGAATATATTTTTGTTATCAGAAGAAACATACATTAATCCATTGGACTACTATACGCAACAACTTAAAGATCATATTGTTTGCAAAAGATGTTACCAAGAATATATGGAACACTTGTCAATAGATGACATACAAGCAGTACAATATAAAGAAACTAAATTAGGAAAAACCAACTTTAAGAAATGTACTATCTGTTCAAAAGAAAATTGGAAAAGACATATGACAAACAACTATACTAACAATTACTTTTGTGACAAAGAAGAAAAAGTAGCATTTGAAATATTTTATTGTTATAGATACTCTACAAAAACAGTAGTAACAAAGAGAATTCAAGAATATACTAGAACTATATATAATAACGAAACAATGAATGAATTGAAAATACTAAGACTCTACGAATTTCTCAAGAACCACCCTCAAGAAGAATGGACCACTCCCGAAAACCAAGAAATAATAAGACAAATGAAAATTAACTCCATCACCGATAAGTACAATTACCAAAATTATGATGATATAGAAGAATACTACAGAGAAGAAACTCTTTATTCAGAAGATGAAAGTACATATGAAGTAATGGAGACATTTTTAAATCAAGCTCTCGAAGCCTCATTTCAAGACGAACAAAGGAAGAAGGATTATCCTATAGATGCAACTAGGACTAATGCTATAATGATAACAGAAAAACGAGGATTAACTCAATTATGTTCAGAATGTTATTATACCTATTCACCTAAGGACCTATTAGGAGGAACATGTCCAGAATGCTTTAAAGAAATGCAAGACAGACTAACAGACATACAAAAAGAAGAAGCCAAAGTAAAATTAGAAAAATAGCAAAATGATGTAGATTATAAGTTATGGAAATGGGAATATAACCAAGAAACAGACGTAGTAGAAAAACATTATATTTGGTATTATAATTGTACAATACAGAAAGGCCAAATTTGTAAAGTAATTAAACAAAATGAAAAACTTGAAAAAGCGCACTTCACCAAAGAAAATGAAATACGAAGAAAGAACCAAAATGGTTGGTGTACAATATATGAAATAATTGAAGAAGAAATAGAACAGTTACCAAATGTGTCTATTATAGAATAATGCGAAGAATGCAAAGAAATATCAAGGAAATTATTAAAAAGAAAAGACTCTACAGAAGACAAAATACCACTGATCAGAACTCAAAAGAACCCTATTGTTATAACAGAAACGGTTTTACACAAAATCCCGAAAGACATATTCCCGAAAGGACCTAATCCCGACAAAGTTAGCCGGCATTAGTTATAATGCTGGCC